TTTTAACTCTTAATTTACTGTCCAATGTGTTTCTTTTTCTGACTATATTCATAATCATAGTTTTGAAAAATTAACTGTCATACCACTAGCTTGATGTAACTGTGACCACTGAGTTATGCATTATCCTAGTGAAAAATTTCTCATCTAAACATCCTATTGTCATGAAAAATTGTGCAAAATCAATTGATTTTTATATCCTTACACTGTTGAAAAAATTTGCCTACTAAAAAATAACTCAGAAATCATATCGAATGTTGCACATCTGTTTTTAATTGCTCATGTATATATAACCTAATAATGATGTCTTTGACATTCACTGGAAACTTGTGTTTGCTAGAGAAATTAATTGTAACATGGCTTGTGCAAAGCACTGTACCTGTTTTTTTGTTTCCCTCCCTCCCTTTCTCCCTCCCTCCCTTCTGTCTTCCTTTTTTCCTTCCTTCTTTCCTTCCTCCCTCCCTCCCTCCCTCCCTTCCTTCCTTCCTTCCTTCCTCCTTTCCCTCCTCCCTCTCTCCCTCCTGCCCTCCATTCCCCTTCCTTCCCTCCCTCCCTCTTGTCTATTTAAGTTGTGACCATTATATTGTAAACTTTTAAGGAGAAGCTACTTTCTTTCAACTATGTAGCATAGAAATGGTACAAAAAATATTAAAAATTACATGCTATTTCTCTTGTATATAGTCAAATGGAATCTTTGCAAAGTTTGCATTTCTTTCATATTTTCTATCTGGCTTGCCAAAATAGAATCTACTTTTTGCTTTTTATTCCACAGAATTAGCACTTATTTTAATAAACATTTCTGACATTTCTTAATGCCTCATTATACTTGATTTGTTATCAGTAGCATCTGCAATATTTATTTCTAGAAATGGTGACATTGAGATTTGGATCATCCAAGTCTTAACAACAACAACAAAAAAAAAACTCCGGAACTTAATTATTGTATATGCACCATGTGTGTTTAGTTTTATTTTTTTCTCAGTTTAAATAATCTAGCATAAAGTAAGGCCAGTGTAAGATATTCAGAAAAATCCTGTAAGAATTAAGCCTAAGAAAGCTGAACAAAGATTGAACTTTGCCAAGTCTTTTAAAAAGCCAGCTGTATGCATCTGCTTGTTAATATGTAGCATTATTCTGAGCTGGGAATTCTGTATGCAATTCACAGTGTACATGGGCCATTTGTCCTGGGAACATATATTGTGACTGCCAAAACTGAACAGAGTTAAGCCAGTTCCCATGAGTGGAACATGATGGTTCTGAGACAAAGGGAAAAACCTGAAAATAAAAGTGAATGCACTGATTGTTAGGGTGGGAAATAAACTGGAAACAGAAGAAAAATATGAAATGAAACTGTTTAACTACAACTTTAAATTTAATGATTACTAACAATAACAAAATATTGCAGTATACCATTTTTTATTTTGGTAAATATTCTGATAAAGTGTGTAGAATATTAAAAGTAATGTATAATATTCAGTGATGTAGTATAACAAGCTATGTTCTGAATAAAAATATTTGTATTTAGTTTAAAATTTTAAATAACACTTATAATTGCTTATTTTTGCTAAATATAGAATGAATCTTAGATTTTTTGAATTTCATATTGGTTAGGATTAGGTTCAGAGGCATCTAGCCGAAACAAACAAACGATCACCAAAAAACCCACATGGTACAGGCTTAAATAAATAAAAACCTAGATAAGCAGTCTGAAGTAATTAGTCCACGGCTGGTGTGGCAACTGCATAAAGTTTTCAGGGCCTCTAACTTCACACTCTAAGCCTTAACCATATCTCAGTTCTACTCTCTTCTTCAAGGTTGAAAGAAGCCTATGGAACTCATTAGCACATCTCTATTCTTGAAAATAGGGTGGAAGAAGCAAGAAATAAAGGACCCCTGTCTCAACAACTCACACCTTTCTTCCCCTTATATGAAAATATTTGCAAATTACCTTACCCAGATGCAAATGTTTCACAAAGCTGCAATCATATTGTATATGTAATGCTGTACTTTCTTCTTAGTTTGTAACACAAATTTTTAATTTAATTCATAATTTCATCTATCAGTCAATCCTCATTCAGTAACTATTAATTGATTATCTTCTTTGGTTTTTTTTTTTTTTTTTTTTTTGAGATGGAGTTTTGCTCTGTTGCCCAGGCTGGAGTACAATGGTGAAACCTCAGCTCACTGCAACCTCCAACTTCCAGGTTCAAGCAATTGTCCTGCCGCACCCTCCAGAGTAGGTGGGACTACATGTTCGCACCATCACTCCCAGCTAATTTTTGTTGTTATTGTTTTTTTAGTAGAGACAGGGTTTCACTATATTGACCAGGCTGGTCTCGAACTCCTGAACTTGTGATCTGCCTGCATCAGCCTCCCAAAGTGTCGGGATTACAGGCATAAGCCACCATGCCCAGCCAATTATCTTCTTTCTAAGTAGTGTTAGGTGTAAGTGGTGAATAAAATGTGGATTATCTCCTCATTAAGTTTACATATTTTGGGGTTAATAATCTATATAAATTACCGTTCACAGGGACTTGACCTTGGGCATAGAATGCAATGATAATGCAAGTGTATTTGGATTTGTGGTTAATTTTCCATGGATCTTGTTTGGGGAAATATGACACCTACTGAGAAAGTGTTTGTCATCGGTCTCCACTCAGTGGACGGGGATGGAATGATGCTTCAGGAAGAAATGATAAACTCTGCTTCACGGGTCACACTGATCACACACAGAATGTATGCCTTCATTTCACTAGGAAACAGGATGGTTTTGTACTGATCAGCCAAGAACTTATTTCTCAGATTACCAGACTGCATTAGTGTTTTCGCATCACATCCCTTAGCACTAATGACAGAGACACTGCAGTACTGATTGTTGCCTTTGTGGCCTTCCTTGTTTTTCCTTTCCTGGGATAACTCCTTCAAATAACCCATAGTTTCTTGGAGTTTATCTGCTTTTGTTATTGCCTGCCCTTCCAATTACGACTGGGAGTTCCTTTAAGGGTTCCACAAAGACTATGTGGAAAAAGATAACTTTGGATGATTATTAGAGAAAGTAAGGGATGTTGCTGCGCAAGTGGAAAAATACTATGTTTAAAGAATTTACAAAATTTATTCAAGCTTAGCTGTGAAATAAAATACTTTTGCTTGTTATCTTTATGAGTAGATAGTGAACAAATGAATTATCAGTTTTCTAAGTGAATTTTTATTTTGGAAATTAAAAAGTTATAACATTCATAATTGCTCTAGAAAAACAGAGAATGTTGTTAAATAGATAGGAAAAATAAGATTGCCTATAACTCGATTATTCAGAGAAAACCATTGCAAGCATTTTAATGTTTTATATATTTTAGCTACCTCTTCATATAAATATAACATTTTTAAACACAAATTGTTTATAATTTGCTACCTGTATTACCTACCCTTATCAATCAAAATAAAACTTAAGCATCCTTCCTTATAGGTAAATACATATACTATAAATTGTCATTTTAATGTCAACATTACTTTAATGTTTGAATAAAACATTATTTATAGATAGATAGCCATGTTTATTTTTTGTACTATAAATAACATTTTAATGAAATACTTATAAATAAATGTTTGCATAGTTTTTAATATTTCATTAGGCAATATTTTTAGAGATAAGATTTGTAGATTAAGGACAGCACACATTTTAATACTTTAAAACATAAAACCTAATGGTTCTTCAGGAAAGGTGGACCAATTGCAACAATCACAAATGATCCTCAACATTGCATTTTGTTTAATTACTGAAGATATCTGAAAAATGTTAACTTATTTTTAAAACTTTTATTTATTTAATATTAGGATTGAAGATAGTCGCCCTGTTTTTGGCTGCTTTGTTTACAAATTGTTGTAAGATATATTTAGCTATCAATTTTTAATTTCATCTTTTTGTGATAACATGGATATCATGCCTTTGCATAACAGGCAATCAACACATATTTACTGGAGAAGGAATGAAAACAATTGAGAATCTTGTATCACTCTAAGGGTATCATTATAAAGAATAACATTACTGAAAAGCTCTAAAATTGCCAATTAATTTTGCTGATGGCAGCACCCAAAAGGAACATCACTTCAGTTAGTTACTGCATTGCTTAAAGTCACTCAACTAGACAGTGAATAGAGTTATTTATAATTTAATTTAGCAAAATTCAACTGTGCTGTAAGTTGGGGAAACTCTCTTAAAATAAATTAAGACAGAGAAGAGATGAAAAGATGAGAGTTCAGAATTTAAGTTAAAGTGAAAAGTAACTAATATTAAATAAAAAGCTATGGCATTGATTAGGTAGCTCCAATTTAGACTCTTGGATGGAAAACTCATACACATTTCTTGGATGTTATTTAATATGTTGGTACTTTCTACTATACAAGAGCTTTATAGGCAATTTAATATCCTGAGATTATTTCTGTGAATTTTATTTGTGACTGTAGTACTTGTTTTTCTATTCCACTGGAGACTACCAGTTTTCCAAAATTATACAATGATTGATACCACAGGATAATTGAGTCTTTCTTTTTATTCATGTTCACTGAATATGGTAAAAAGTTGCTCTTAGAAATGACCTCTGTGCCTGATGAGCTTTAGAAAAACATAAAGTAATCACAATTTCTTTGAATTAGCATTTTAAAAACCACTTTTAGTTTCTATTAATTTTATTTTCAATAAGATAGATTTTCTTCCTGCTGTACATTTGATGATCCATAAATTCACTAGCAATGTGACATACTGAGTGAATATGAAATGTAGCAGGTGACTACAAACCACTCTGTATTAATACCTAATGCAATTACACTGTTATTAAAAATAATTGGTTTTTAAATTCATTTTCTTCATAGAGACCGTATGTTGCCTTTAATTCACTAACAGTTTTCTTTAAATGTAGGTAATTGCTAACTCATTGAACCACTGCATTTCTATAAAAATATGATGTTATTAACTTTGGACTAGGAAAAAAAAACATGACAGAAAAAACCTGTTTTTTGGAAATTCCCATGGGCCAGTCTGCTATGCATCTAGGTGAGAAGCCCTTGCAGTCACATCAGTGCGTATCATAATGTAAATATGCAGCTGTTTGTCTTCACCTGTAAAAGGAGAATTCCTGTTTGGTAGTGAAATGTTACACATTCAAATTATTTACCCAATGTTCAATTTCACTTTTATTTTTATATTAGTGGAAAGCAATTTTGAGAACATTGAAAGTTATTTTGCTTTTATTTTCATCAGTTCGTCTTGATTTAAACTATACTGAACTTTAAAATCAATGTATTTCATTTAATCTGAAAGCTGAAATTTGGTATATAAATTGTTAAGAACCATAGAACTATCAACTAGCCACTATGCCAAATAAAATTTTCTTTGACAATCACTCTATTTTTTCTAAAGACTATAAGTGACATAAGCCAGTGGAATGTTTTGCTTTTTAAAATTCTTTCCCCTTGTGCTTATATTCTATAAAGTATCTAGATTTGCCTCCTGTTACTTTTAAAATGCATTGCCATTTAGCTGTTGAGATAACATGGATCAGCCTCAATCAGATAAGGGATATGGAATTTTCAAAAAGTTTAGAGTGTCTGTTTATGGTATTAAAGTACATTTGTGATTTCAAAACTGGATTTGCCACCTAGATGTTACAGCTACGGCCCATGTTGTCAATATGCTTTCACCTTTTTTGAGCTGTTTGGCTGGGAAACTGCTAATTTACCTCCTTGTGCATAGCTGGGTAGCTTTCAATGCAGAGAGCCTGTGTTTATTGGTGGTGGAGGTGAAGCGGGGAAGGAGCAGGTTTGGGGTACTCAGATCTACACTACTTTTGACACTGTGTGGTATGCCAAATCTAAAGAATTTACTGGGCTGGTAGATTAACTATTTATTCAGAGAAGAGATGGAGACCTGGCATGCTTTCCAGAAAACAGGCCTCTGAGAAGAGAGGGAGTGATTACTCCCCAGCCATGCTTGCTGAAAAGTGTCCTCACAGCTGAGAGCCATGCAAAAACGAAGACAGAGCTGAGTAAGGCAGATGGGATCTGTTAGCCACCGCTGACTCCAACAATAGGCCAAAAGGGAAAAGTGCCACTGTGTTCCCAGACAGTTAATTAGAATGCCTGGCTGACACTGCAGCCCCTGCTTAGAATTTTAAAGGAGGAGTGGGCTGTTCGAGGAGAGAGGGGTATCACAAGCACAACTCAATTCGGACTTGTGCAATCCATCATCTTGGGCTGGTGGGTTGTTAATTTGGGTAGAGTCTGTGTTCATTGGTGATTGGTGTCAAGAGGGAGAGATTATATTTGGGAAAGTCAGATCTATGCTACTCTTGCTCTGCCGTGTACTCAATATTTACAAAAAAAATTAGTTTCCATAGACATCTACAACTGTTTATCCATTCATTCTTTCCTGAACATTTATTGAGTGGCCAGCCAATAGCAGGTAAACTACTCGGCCTGCAGGACAAAAACAGTAAGACTCAGTTCTGGCCCAAACCTCTCAAGATCTAGTAAAGAAAATAGACATATAAAAAAATAACCTGGGTGATGGATGCAGCAAATGACCATGGCATGTGTATAACTATGTAACAAACCTGCACGTTCTGCACATGTACTCCAGAACTTAAAGTATAATAAAATAAAATAAAGTCAAAATGTAGTAAGTTGTACTAACTCCAAACCAGAAACTAACTAGAAATCCCGACTATAGCGTTATACCTTATGTTTTTATTTGTAGACAATGACTGAGAGTCAGGTTTTAGTGGCTCCATCGGCTTTTCATTGGAATAGCCCACCTGCCCCAATTATTGCCAAAGAAAACAATGACTAAACTAATTTCACCAATAAAGTGCCCTATAACTCTTCTAATACTACCTGAGGTAAGAGACACATATCCATGTTTGGACAGATGAGGACACAGAAAATGTAAATAACTAGCTTAATGCCCCACTGCTTGTTTTAATAAGTTTGTAGGAGAGAGTTGAAATACATAATAATCATAAATATAAGTCAACATAAGATGACGAGGACATTATTTTGCTAATTTTAGAGGAAGTGTTTCTTGAAACAAAAGCTTCTGAGTCAGAGAAGGATGGTATTTCCCACTAGAGGGAATGGTGATGGGTAGATGAAAGTGGATGCAAAAGAACAGTACTGAGGGGCCATGTGCCTGAAAAGTGAGGGTGAGGGCTGGACATGATTTTAGCTCCCATTATAGCCATTAAACTCTGAAGATGGGCAAAAAGTCTCCAGATGATTTTTAAGTCATACTGAATAAAGTGTCCTATAAATCCTCTGAGCTTTCCCTAAAGGAAAACTTACACTATGTTTATGTTATTGCTCAAAGTTGTTTGACTGATAGTTCCTTACATGTGAATCAGTACAGAGATCAGGCCACAGGTCTGCTTTGCTGTATGCCAGTCACATATACGTTGCTAACAGCATGTTGCCTGTAAAAAAAAGTTTGGAAGTGAGAACACCCAAGTTACACTCCAGGTTCTGAGCAAGACATTTCTTTTATCTGGGACTGTGATCTCATGAGAAGTTGGATTTTAAAACCTTGGCAGAAGATTTCAGTGGCCATAGACAAGAAGAAACGAGAATCAGGCTAGTGGCTCAGATCAGGGCTCATCTGGTGTGTGTTCTTTGATTTTCATATTTTAGAATACTCCCCTAATAAGTACTATATCTGAGCTGGAAAGACCCAAGCAGAGTCTTTGCCCATATGCCTCCGAGGTTAGGCATAGTTATGGGAATATAATTTCTCCATTATAAAGTTCCAGTAGGAAAACACAATGGAATGAGAGTAAAGGACCACCTCTTCCAGATCTGCAAAGACTACAAGGCCAGGGAAAGACGTGAGCCAAGTCTGCTTGACTCTGACTTTATAATAGTATTCCCATGGAGTACATTTATGATAAACACTAACAACAGCATTCTTTGTAGGAATTATACTAAGCCTCCTTGCATGTGACCATCAATACAGAAAGATCTGGGGGCTTAGCAAAAAAGATTTGTGTACACTGAGAGCCCATACTGTGATGGACATGGCCCTAGTCACTCGTGCTGTCATGTGCTTTACCTACCTCTCATTTATTCTTTAATACTACCCATTTTGTGAGGCAGGAGACATATATCCATGCATGGAAAGATGAGGACACAGAAAGGGTAAGTAACTAGCTTAATGTTCCACCGCTTATAAGGTCAGATGTGATATAAAAACACTGCCTTCTAGCCCTCAAGCCTATGTTTATTTGTTTTACAACCCATAAGAATGCTTTTCACATAAGGCTACTGAGTTAGTACCTGTAGTACCCATGGGACTATAAACTGAAGGAAAAGTTTATTAGGATATTATAGGATTAAAATTATCATGCACCTGTCAGTCAGATATTATAGTCTGCTTAATGAAAAGGCACAGCATTTTTGTTACAGAACAATATGAATAATTTACCATGATACAGTCATGTATAAATATCATTCGTGCTTATTGCATTAAATAAGATTTTCATGTCAGCTGCATGTAAAATTGTCTAAGAATTATCCTTAAGCTCAATTCAATTTATGATCTTAGATGTATCTGCACAGTTACTATTTTAAAAATCATACAATCCAATAAATAAGTATATAGAGTAATTTGTTTCATGACCAGACTTTGAGAAGGAAGAAGGAAAAAATCTCTGTACTATTTACATCTATATATCTCTAATTCTTAACACAGTGCCTGGAATCTTGGTGGTGATAAATATTTTGTTTTCATAAAGGTAGAGTTCAGATGGGTACAGTGGCTCACACCTGTAATTCTACACTTTGAGAGCCCAAGCCAGTGGATTGCTTGAGCTCAGGAGTTCAAGACCAGCCTGAGCAACATAGCAAAACTCCGTCTCAAAAAAAAAAAGATAATAATAATAAATTAGCTGATCATGGTGGCACATGCCTATAGTCTGAGCTATTTGTAGGATTGAGGTAATAGGATTGCTTGAACCAGGGCGGTCAAGGTTAGAGTGAGCTGTTATTGTGCCACTGCACTCCAGCCTGGTGACAGAGTAAGACCCTGCCTTAAATTAAAAAAAAAAAAAAGGTAGAGGTGGTAGTAGGGTGTGAGTGCATGTATTTTATATGACGTTTTCTTATATATATTTAAATTAATGTCCACTGAGAACAGATGCATTTGGTGAATAGCATCTTATATTAGGTAATCAGTACAGCAGTTTTTAAGAGTGAAGGCCCTGGAGTCAGACTGCCCAGATTTATATCCCAGCTCTATGATTTAGGCAACCTTGCATGTTCCTAAGCCTGTGATATGGGTTAATAATAGAACCAACATTCTATCACAGGGATTTTGTGAGGATCAAATGACTGATGCAAGTGAAATATTTAGTTGAGTGATTAAAACATGGTAGGTCTCAATAAATGTTTAATTTTGTATTAGGTGAAAGAACCTTAGATTCACTATTGTCCAAAGAAATGTCTCACAGTGCACTATCACTAAGGATACAGAGAAAAATAACCTGTAGTCTGATCCAAAAGGTCAGATTCTGCCCTTATTTCCTGAACCCTATTTTTTGAAAAAGAGACCATGGCCATGAGAAAAAGAAAACAAAACACAGGGATTAAAGCATACTTTTAGGAATTATTACTTTTTCATTATTACTTCATTCTCCCTGATTTCTAAGTCCAACTAAAACCCCAAGCCTCCTCCAATCTTTTGATCAACTCAAAAGTTTAATCCTTTCTATTTTAGCTGGATTTGCTCTGAGAAAGGACTGTTAAGTTACAGAAGGCAACTCAATCTTCAGTGAACATGAGTGTATTTGATTTTTGTTTTTCTGTTTCCTTAACTTCATGGGATCCTCATATCAAAATATCATTCTGGAATTTCTAAAAGAATAACAAATAATATTTACAAAACAAAGTGCCTATCAAAAGTGATATGAGGTAGATACATAAATTAGCTTGATGAAATCTTACTACAATGTATACATAGATCAAAACATCACATTGTACCCCATAAATGTATACTTTTTCAATTGAAAAAAAAGTGATGTGGAGATATGTGATAACTCCATGAACAGAAAAAATACTACCACACTTTTAGCCTGTGATATTGGTTGATAATAGATGTATCAAGATGTAAAACACCATCATTATCTTTTTATAAGAACCTCATGTTTTACAATGAGGAAATAAAATACCCAAGAAAACATTTTCCTGCCTTGAGTTTTTTACATAAATGAATTTATTGCCCTCTTCCTATTCTTCTCCACCAGAGTTAAACAATGGACACTTAGAAGGGAAATGATGTCAACACCCTATTGATAAAAATCAAACTATGCTGTAGGAAACACAATAGAAAAAAACACAGCTTTCTAGCTTCTGCAGTTTGTTGTGACCTTTATTAAATGTAAAGCATAATTTCATTACAGCCCCATGCCGACTTGCGTTTACTATGGATGCATCGCTTTCATATTCACATCTTTTAGCAAAGGTAAGTAGGATAGGCAAAGCAAATATAATTGTCTGTGGTAGCTAGAATTTATAGCTTTGAATATATGAAACTCTTTTTTTTTTTAATTTGAAATTTGACTGGCATTCTAATGCATTTCATAGCTATTCATTCTGGGAAAGGCCATCTCAGCAGAGTTTACAGAATGATTGTAGAAAATATCTTGAAGACCATTTATCAATTTAATGATACCAAATTAATGCTTGGCAGAACATTCACACTATAGATAAAAGATAGTATAAAATATGTGAAGATGACAAATTTGCCGGTGGCAAATGTGCAGCGTTAGAGTGGGATGTATTGCAAATTAATCTTATTCTCAATGAAGTGATTTCTTCCATGAATGTTCTAATTCTTTGAATGAGCATATAGCTAGATAACCTATTTTGCAAGTTCAGAAAACCAAGGTCAAATCTCTTCTCACTCTTTAAATTAACATCTTGACTCCACTCCTGCTCTTGTGCAAAACTATTTTGAAGAATAAATTATTATAATAGTAATAAACTTAACATATTTTGCTATCAATATTTCTCAGCTATTAACTGGATGTAGTAACTGTAGGAAGTCCTCTATTGTATCTGAAATGAAAATATTTTATATAATCCCCACAACAAAGCAGACTTAATCCTGGTAGTCTTGCAGCTTTTCAGATAGAGCAGTGATATAAACATGTGTTATAAAGGGAGGAGAAGGAAATTGTTTAAAATGAAGAGTAATATAACATCATCAGAGGTGAGGTACCATGACTCACTCACCACAAGTCCGAAGTATCCAACTGGGAGATGTGAAATGGTTTTCATACTATAACTCTCTATTCTTCCTTGCATGTGATATCAGAGGTCTTATTTTAATCAGAGCCCAGGGCAGCATGGAGAACTCAGTCTCCACTACAGTATAAAAACTCAAGGAAGCAGTAAAGGTAAGAAAACAACACTCTGGGGAGCTCCATGTATTAGTTTAACCAGATCTTCCTTCTTTCCAGCAGTCTTAGGTCATACAGAATCTAAAACACTGGTTCTCACAACAAAATAAAATGAAATATTGTCTTTGAGATAACCTTAGAGATTGCTCAGCTGGCTCAATCCTTTGTACAAATGAAGACAGCAGGTACAAAATAATAATAACAGCAACAACAATACACAATAATAACTTATTCTAGATCATAGTCTAAATGGATTTAGTCTATTTATATCATGAATGAATGAACAGATAAAAGGAATAAAGAAAAAAGTAAGGCTTAATTCCTGTCACATTCTGAGACTAAATTCAATATATTGTTTCTTATCCTACCTTGTTTATGATCTCCTTAAATTTCTGTTAAATCAATGTGTAATTATTTAATTATAGCCTCATACAAAGAGAGAGAGAGACTTCAATATTGGGTTTTTGTCTAATTTAATATATCTGTTAAATTTCAAATCAGAAATACAAAACCTAAAATATATCTCAACATGATAGTAAAAAAATCAAAAGAAATGAAAAAGAATTTGTATCAGCATTCTCTAGAGGGACAGAACTAATAGGATATATATAAAAGGGGAGTTTATTAAGTATTAACTCACATGATCACAAGGTCCCACAATAGGCCATCTGCAAACTAAGGAGCAAGGAGAGTCAGTCTGAGTCCCAAAACTGAACAACATGGGGTACGATGTCTGAGGGCGGGAAGCATTCAGCACTAGAGAAAGATGTAGGCTGGGAGGCTAGATCAGTCTTGCTTTTTCACGTTTTTCTGCCTGCTTTATATTTGCTAGCAGCTGATTAGATTGTGCCCACCAGATTAAAGGTGGGTCTGCCTTCCCCAGTCCACTGACCCAAATGTTAATCTCCTTTGGCAACACCCTCACAGACACACCCAGGGACAATATTTTGAATCCTTCAATCCAAGCAAGTTGACACTTGGTATTAACCATCACAAGTTTACCCCTTGTCAACTTGAACCCATACGCA